TGGTAAGACGCTGTGGTCATAACGCACTGGCCCGCCCTGTGTGGCCCCTCGCCCTTACACTCTCCGGTCAGTCACGTGATGGCATCGGGGAACGAGATTCCGCAGACGCGCGATGAACCCACGTGCTTCCAAGTGGCGTGGCGATGGCCCTGTGTGGCATGCTCAAACAATCGTTCGGGACGAGTAACAGCAACAAAAACTACAGTGAATTCATGGCAGGCTCCACTTGCAAGGACGCGTTAACATCGGACACGGTACCCATGATATAAGCAGAACCAAGTCGACTCATGCGACGATTCGCGTGTTGCTTATGGCGACCTTTAGTGAAAGATGGTCTTACATTTTTGTAGGCTCTGTTAATATCTGATTAGTCAGTCATTGCGTGTCCAATCCGGACCACATGCTGCGTGGTCTCAGGATCATTGGGAATGCACTATATGTAAGAACTACTCGTAGACGATAGTTATAGCGCGAGAAAAGAACGACGACAAAGAAACAAGAAGGACACGAAGGACACGTGTCTTTCATGTTCTTCTTGTCTCTTTGTCGTCGTCTTGTCATACCAACTAGTACAAGCTGCCACACTTCTAAGCTACTCGTAGAGGCTTATGTATACACTGTTGCATTTTCGCATTACACTAAGATGGTAAGCGACTCAAGACAGTGTCCCGCAACATTCAGAAATATTTTGAATGAATAGCAATTAGTGTGTGCGGCCTAAATGTCCAGCTGACACTAATTCATTCAAAATGCAGTTTTGCCATTACAAAGGTTAGGTTGTTCAGCGTTTACCAAAGTCAAGCCCTTCACTTTCTTTCTAATCGCCTCTGTGATGGTCACTGCGCACCGATATTTGATTGGTATTACCTCAAGGGTACAAAGACTACAGGAACGAGTCGAAACAGTGAATTCCAGCTTAATATGATGAAGCTAAACCCGATTAAGAGAAATAATGCTCTAATCAGGGCAAATTTACATCGGAGAGAGCCAGCAGCAGTGGTAGGTGCATGTGTTATACCTCTATATGTTACTGCTATACTGTAAAACTTGAACGAACGTCAGTAAAGTGAACTATTATGTTGAACTAACCTTCTTTAAATCCCCGGACCCTCCGACGGGCCATTAGATCCAGCACTAACGATTTTCAGTTTATCAAAATTAGTGCACTGCGCATTTCAGTTGTCTGAAACGTATACTCACAGCGCTTTGCGTTTTGAAGACTATGTCACCTGTGAATTCCTCGTTGAGACATGCGACTCTCTGTCCACAGAAGAAATGGTATCGAGTGTCCTACTTCAGAAAAAATGAGAGGAGGAGGAAGAAGTAACCCTCGTAAAAAAGCACCAAGGTTTTCAGCTAAAAAAAACACTTGAAAAAAAAAGTGAAGTCATACGCTGTCCAACAGGGAATTGTGCCGGCACTATGTGAGAGCTTAGAGATAGTGATTCAATACATGACCATTGCTGTCTTAAATGTACAAATGCTACAGACGATTACTCCATTTGCGAAGCATGCTAAATAATCGAATCCACATTCCAATAAGCACCATTGCAAATGAATTTAATTTCAACAACTGATGTTTCCTTCAGCACCTGATAACTACGTGCAACATGATCATTTCAGTTCGGAGAAATTTCACTTTAATGCACTTTTTTGGGCCTCTTAAGGTTTGTTCAAATGAGGTTTCATTGTCATAAGTGTCATAGTGACAACCTGGGACGCCTGCGAAAACATGGTATTTTATCTATTGCTTCACTACGACAGATGCCTGTAGCGACACCTCGCGTCTTTGAGAAGAGCGCGATTACTTGTGGTTTAACAAGACTAATATCGAATGAAACCCAACAACATCTTTTCACGTCTCAAATCACATTGACAGGATAGGCACAGCCATGTAAAGGAGTAAAGTACACGAAGATTTCCGGCCGTAAGGGTAAGCCATTCCCACTGTAGTGCCCTCTTTTTTTTTTTTTTTTTGCACGAACGTGTTTTAAGTCGGGGTCCACCACGGCTCCTCTGGCGTATATCAGTCACGAATGTAATATAACGTTGTAAAATATATACTAACAGATTGGCAAGAAAATAAACGAAAAGAAATATTTCATCAGCGGGGCGTCGGTCGACACCAGCGACCTCACGCTCTTCAAAGAGCGACGCTAACCACTCATCAGTCACTCAGCAAGCCCTCTACAGCTTGTTAACGGCGAGCCATTTATATACACCATGTACCACTGGCAGTCCTCAGCCCTCAGAAACTTCAGCGTGTTTTGTCATCAGCAGTGAGATGGTAAGAAGGCGCGCGTTGGGCGCGTGCTCTCAATGTCGTCGTGCCCCACCACCCCACGTGCCTCCTCATGTCGTTGTCAAAGTGCATATGGTTCTCCTCTAAGCGTGGTGGTTCACTCGCTTGCATGCGTATATCGGGATTCGAACGCTTTGCATCTCTTGTGCTTCCACCGCAAGTTTGCTTTGAAGTTGCAGCAGTGGAAGAAGCACGAACGTCACTTCGCTCGATGCCATGGCCGCGTTTACGTAAGGAGCGCGCGGCTAACACACGAAGTAAGAATTGTGACAGTTGTTCGCGCTCATCCTGTGTATACAATTGCGTTGATTTCATGCGTCTTTATTTCTTTTTGAGAAGCGCGCTTTAACATGTCGAGCTGTGACAACTGTTTGTCCGCCCTCGATCTGGGTATGCTCGTTTCGTGCTTGCTCTATGCCTGAGGTGCGCGCTGCGAGTTTCGAGCTGCTTTCCTGTTCTTCGCGTGACGTTGCAGTTTGTTGCTCTAGCATTCGTTCGTTCGCCATCGTGGCGAAATAACGCACAATGAACGCTCAACTACTTCTGCTAGTACACGTTTCACTTTCGTGTTATGCTGATTCCTAAATAAAAGGGGGCTTAACCACGTTTTTTATTTACTATACCAGTCATTGAGCTCTACTGCCACCTACTCTAAAGAACATTCGTAACGTAAACACTTCCTTTTGTTGTTCTTTTTTCCACTTTTTTGAAGACACATATTTGGTGTACTTCGTATTTCCCAGAGGAGAGAGAGATAAATACTTCACTGATGAGCTGAATATGTTTGTCTTGCATTTCGCCTGACATTCTACTCCAGGTTCTAAGGGATGACTAGTTATGGGTGATGATATGATATGAGAATATAAAACAGGACATTCATTTGCCGCCTTTCACCAGCACTTTCAGGTTCCACTAGAGCCCATTTTTACGCGATCATCTGCTCCCTTAGCTTCACACTTCACTCATAATCACACATAATGACACAATTAAGTTGACACCTGAACCGGGGGAGACTTTCAGGAGTAAAATGCGCCTTTCTTCTACAAAGTTTTCAGGCAAAGCGGTGAAGGTGGTGGAGCTGCCTTTGCCCAGCTCTTTCTGAAAGCCAAAAGCATTGCGACGAAGTCAGCCGTTCTGCTAAGAAGTGAGTATTTAGCCTCGTGCAACCTTCACATGATCACTTATCGACGGTAATCCGTTCGTATTTGAAACAGAATGGACAGCTTCCAAACACAAAAGTTTTAAAGTTTAACTGGAGACATGTTCCTCTTCTTCAAAAAGACAACACGTACTCAGCTGCTTGATATCGCGGTCTATTACTCTCAAAGAGAAGGCAGGTTTTCGTGCCCCTTTAGTGGTATAGTTGTACAGCTGCTCCCACCTTATCACATTTGTGCAATCAAATATTTGTGTAAGTCTCCAATAGCAATAATAAAATAAATACCTTAAGTTGAGTGGCAGCTTATAGCCAGTTGCCTTGTGCACCCGTTTCTACGCGGATGCACCAGCTCGCGTTATTTCCTGAAATTCAGAGACAACGCGGTGCGTTTGCTCACTTCCGTTCGCACCATTCATTATGACAACGTTCTGAAAATCAGTAATGACAGCCATCAACTCAGATTTGTTCATGCATGTGCTCATGATACAATGCTACTTGATGTAATTAGTACAAGAATACTTAGTGTAGCATACCAGCCCGGTAAATCTACATCGTATACTTTTTTATCTGTCAATGTCACAACCATCAGTTCGTCTTTTGGACGATAGTGTAATTTTTTCTTCCCGGTAGTTTGTCTATTGCCATAAACAACTTGATATATGAATGCGGACCAGTTTCAGCAGCATGCATTTGTATTTATTGACCACTGGATCAACGAAGGCAAGCAAATAGATATTTCATCGTGCAGCAAGGCAGCCCAATTTATGTACAAAAAGAGAACAATTTGACTACCGAGTGGTATGCACGAACAACGTACGCAGCCGTTTTTATTTTGGAGAAAGACAAGCTACTGTCAACCGCACCAAATCAAACTATGTCAATGTGCAATATGTGATCAGCATGCTAGGGCACAAGAAGTAGCACTCAAAGCTATGTCCACGAGAAAAGTTGCACAGAGCATTGGAGACATTTTCGTGGCGATGAAGAAGCCAGCACCTTATTTTGGTCCAGGAAAAAATACTATCGGGAACTACGGCAACGCCTGAATCAAACTAAGTAAAGTTTGTCACAACAGCAAACTAAGTCTCCCACATCTATAGCATCACTAATACAGGGAAAGACACCTGTGCTTGCCTATGTTGAACATAGCGTCTTCAAGATAAGTTCCCTTTGCGAGCATAATGCAGGATTCTGGAGCTGATACCAACTTTTCAATACGTGTCTATGACAGCGCTATCAATAGCTGTATGAGCCATATATAAGATGGACAAGCATAACGGCCGTCTAAACTGTGACAGTATGCACAGTTCTCAAAAATTAAGTGGCTAGAGGGAACATCTAAGATGCCATATCAGCAAGGTGCTGAAGGTTTAAAATAATCTGAAAAAATATCTTATTCTCCTTGCAGACAACTCTACTAAATCTTGATTTTAGTGTTGCGTCGTTGCAATACGCGGTTGTGCATTCCTTTTCACTTATAACCAAAGTACCAACTTACTTTTTTTTTGCCTTAATGAAGGATGGAACCGCTGCTTGAAGACGGTGTGCGTGCCAGACACGTCTCTACAGTCCGTGTCATGCATGAGCCTCTACTTTTCGTACAACCCGTACAAGCACGCCTGCATGCCACAGAAGGGCTTCTGCCAGCGGACCGTCAACCACTTCGCTTCGATGGAAGACTGCCGGATCGCGTGCACCAGGTAACTGCATCACCATCAGCTAACCGTGTTTGTAGTAAGGTACGAGTGAGCAATATACTCGTAGCGGTGGTGGGACCGTTCCTTTTGTTGAACCATGATGTAGTTCAACCACCGGGCAACCTTTATCTTAATCATCCGGTGCTATGTTCATTTTTTTACTGCCATTTCTCTAGTGAATAGAAAGGCCCGAAAAGTTTGAAGCCAGTTCCGCCATAGAGTATTGTCGTTCGACGCGTTGATTTATATGTGGGGTTTAACGTCCCAAAACCACCATATTATTATGCGAGATGCCATAGTGGAGGGCTCCGGAAATTTTGACCACCTGGGGTTCTTTAACGTACACCCAAATCTGAGCACACGGGCCTACAACATTTCCTTCTCCATCGGAAATGCAGCCGCCGCAGCCGGGATTTGATCCCACGACCTGCGGGTCAGCAGCCGAGTACCTTAGCCACTAGATCACTGCGGCGGGCCTGACGTTTGACGCAAAAATACAAAAATACTGGGACAGATACTATATAATAAATAGTTATTATAATATATTTAAGTAGTAAAATCAAGTTTGCAGGCATAGCGTGGCCGCCGCAAGCACATGGTCGGATCAATTGGCGAACAATGAGAGAAGCCCTTGACCTACAGAGGGCGTAGTCATGCTGATGACGATGATGACAAAGAAAGGTGGTGTCCACATAGGGTGGACGTTCATTATGTGCGCTGTTCATTCTTTCACACAAGAGCAAGAGAACAGACTTGGACACTGCGGTACTGACGTGTTGTTGCTTTCAGAGTTTGCTAAAAATGTCTACAGTTCCCGAAGTTGCCGCACACGACAAGAGAACTCCACGATCAAAGCCAAAGCTACTCCAGCCGTCCGCTACGGAGTCACAGTTTTACGAGACCACCAAGTGTGCCAGCTCAAACTCCGGTACTAATCTGCCATGAAAAAAACGAAATTATTACATTAGTGCTCATCGTGGTCTGTCGAACATCAAGGCAACATCCAATGCTAGCTACGCAAAAAATATTTTCATCAGTCTCTTGTATCGTTTGTCCTCGAAGACGCGCACAGATGAACACCACGACAGCCATCACACACTTTGACTTGATCTATGTCCCCTCCCTCTTGCGACACTTTTAACCAATAAGTCCAGACATTCCAAACGCTGAATAAAACCTTAATAAACGAAAGCATGGCACATTACTTCAAGATAGAAACACAGTTGCACTATCAAATTGTGAAAACACTCACACGCTCATATGAACAATTTCATATGGGCCAACCACCTGTTGGGCATCGAAACTTGAGTGTCTACTTAACCATTCAGATTACTTCCATAAGAGCATTGAACCCACAATTTGCACACACCGAAAGCATTTGTTGTTCGAAAATCCGACACAAATCATCAGCACACTTGGAAAAGGCAGTATCCTTCAAAAAAAAAAAACAGCAAAGGTGTCCAAGTATCACCCCACTGCCCCAATGAACGTGTGCCTTTTTCATGTCTCCGGAGAAAATGAAACATACAGAAGGCTTAAGCGAAGGGAAACCAGCTAAAAGTAAAGCCGTGAACGGCCTATTGAACCTAAATAAATTTCATCAATCCGCCCTATCATCATGTTTTGCGTTTCAGTAGATATTCTATAACCTCCCACTTGCCAGACCCGAAGTGGAATTATCTGCCTCATGTTTGGGCCCTAGTGTCACGGTAGCAATATCAAAAGAACATCGGCTTGAAGCTGCTACGGCGGATCAGAACGTCGTAGTCATTTATATATCTTTAGCATAGAAAAGGTAGACATGCATTAAAAATACGAGCACGAAAACATCAGACGCGTAATTCACTAATCGCAGGCTTGGTTCTTGCCAGCGGCGAGCTACCTTTTCGTAAACTTTTCTTTTTTCAGATTTATATCTATAATAAATGATAACAACCCCTGAAGTACTTGCCTTTTTTGTCGGTTTGTTCTGATTAGCGTTCTGTCTAACAACGAAAAAAACAAGCCTTTCAGAAGCTCCTTTTTTTTATTCATGCACGAAAGGAAGCCTTGCACTATGGACCCCGCCTTTCCCATCACCGACGATTTCTCACTCAATCAACTTCTTCATAGTCAATTATTGCTTCATGTGGACTACATATTCATGATCCCAGCAAAAAAAAAGTATCATTGCGAATTTCAGAAATAAAGAAAGCGTGAACAATAACTCTAGGGCGCTCCTAATTAGCCAAAATAATGCCCTTTAAAACTTTTAAATGGCATGATTAGGAGATAATGCCTCATAATTGCACGTTGCCTTACATTGTACGTTAGCTTCACAGGAGCTCTCAGGAACCATACATGGTCATGTGAAGTATGCGCCATACTATAAGGTTTACTTTGAGGGTGTTTAAGTAGTTCATGGTATACTGGACGCTCTTGTGCAAGGGCACTCAGCGGGAAAAACCGAAGCAAACCATTTGTTAGTAACACTTCCGCGATGTCACGCTTCTTACCCTTCCACCCGGCTCGTCATGACTGAGCTGTTTGAATGGTGTGGTGTTTCGCTTCGCTGGTCCTTGCGATGGCAGTTCTGCGGAGTGACTACCGAGGAGAGGGTCCCTTTCACTTTCAAGCATTGCTCTTCCCTTTTGTTCAGGCCGGTGTACTCTAGCACAGCGTGGTAGGAGACCATCAGCCGCTGTCATCGTACACCACGTTCATTATCTTTAAACACCATCAACCGACGTTAAAGCCAGCTAAAGTAACGAGGAATTGAAGAGCCGAGTGATAAATTACGTCATCCTTAGAACAGGTACGCAGCCAACCGATATAACCAGACATACAGCCTGGAAACATCGGAACAACAATTAATAGCACAAATGTTGAGGCATGCGTCTCTTTTCCTGATGCTCGCGCAGAAACAATTACATAATACTAGTCCAAACGTAAGGTACCTAAATACGTGACGGATTTGTGCCTAAAGAGTGAAATTACCTAAATATTATTTCAACATAAATGTATAAAGACGAATGAGTCATTACTTTCGCCGTTCAGACATGCTGAAGAGCAATAAACTATGGCGTACCTGATGTGTGTCCTTTAATTAGCTGCTTTTTTTTTCTAAATGCGAGTGAAGTAACCCTTCTTTTTGTTTTTCTCCGGTCTTGTTCTCACAGCCCGAAAGAAAGCGGCCGTTCGGCTACAATGCTAACGCCCCAAGACACCGAAGTCAGACTGATCATTATGCGCAAAAGGAACGGTGCTTCTGTGACACTAGTGAACAGCACGCTAAAGGTGCCACAGAAGAAGAATCTTTTCTTCGTCGGCTACCTTCTTCCCGACCCTTACGGTCCACTGGTAGGAATGCCGAAAAGCAGCGTCCATCGGCAAAGCTCCGTCACCAATGTTGCAGTAAAAACACCTGTAAAAGCTCCCACTCCTCAAGCGCCATGAAGGTACCCATGCCACCTCCGATGGGTGACCTTACGGGTTTTCCTCGATGGCCATTAAGCACTTCGAAGCCATCGCCCCAGCTTCAGCTTCCTAAGCAGTTCCCAGGTATGTTGGGTGCAGGCCCAACGGCAGGTCTACAATTTTCCAATGGAGATCGCTTTTCCTCGCTATCAAACTCACCAAACCTGTCCTGTTCAGAACCCTCCAACATTCTTGTTCGCAGCCAAGGGACAAAATCCTAACGCTCCTTCAGGACCCCCTTCGGGATTGAAGGAAACAAGTGCTTCTGAAATGTCCCCTGCAGGAATGAAAACAGTATCTGCCATACCATCAACGGGACAAACTGGACCTCTAGTAAGTGACGTGATGCCTGGATTCTCTTCAGCTCAACCACCTGCGAGTTCCTTGGTGTTCGGCATACCATCATCGCTTCCTCCCAGTGCAAGTTCCGCGCAAGACTCACTTTCACAGCCAACTCAGGCGCAGCTGCCAGTGCCCTTAGGACGACGCGCGGATGACTCGCCCAATACGTACAAGCCGAGACAGCTTTCCGACGGGTCGACGCCGACACTTCCTCCTGGCATGGTACATGCGTACTCGACAGAGAGTCCGATAAGCGCTCGCGACGAAAAGTCATCACTGGGCTCGGCCGAAGAAGACGAGTCCGAGGCGTCGACCTTGAACAGCTCGAGTGATGAAGCTTCTGAAGGGGCCGAGACAGCGTCGAGCACATCAGAGTCAGGTCCTGAAGACGACTCGGGAAAAGGTCGGCACGCGAGGCAACTTCCGCCGGGCCTCGCCCTCGCGAGGCGAGGCAAAGATGAGAAGCCACATAGGGTGGCCCCGATGTCGCGGCGCAGCGCCAGGGAAAGTGAGTCGAGGGAGCCGGTGGTCGAGGAAAAAATCGTCCCCTGAAAGGGCCCATCTTACGGGAATGCGCACAGCATATCGCAGAAGCGCAGCCGCACCTTTTCGACGTCGAGTCGCAGGAGAGGAAGCGGTGGTCTACTCTCGACGCCCTGGGCGCAACCTCGAGGCTCTCACCTTTCTCCATCTATATCCCTCTAGTAAGGGGCACGCTGCCACGAGTGGAGTATGCAGTAAGACAAGACGGCAGGAAACGAAGTATGTGCTAGTCCTTATCCACGCAATAAAACTGTTTGCTGTAGTTCGTGCATGATCTCTTTCAGCGCTGTAAAAGGAAAAAAAGTTACGATGCACCTATGAAAACAACTAATTAAGTAAAGGAAATGTACGAGTGAATTATGTTCAGTTAACTCAAGTTGGATAAGTATTATTAAAGGGAAAAAATGAGTTTATTCCGGAATGGAGACATCACTCGCCGATGGTGGGTGCTGAACACACATTAGCTAGTCAGGATGAACGGGGATCACAATCCACCCAGAATGTTCTTTTTTTAATATTGCATGCGCATACATACGCGCACGAACACAAACACACGCGCCAACATACGTGTAACTGGCGTTGGAGATCAAACTGCCGGATAGCCAAGCCACTTCAAATATTTTGTCCACGCTATGCGCATACGTGCATGATATAGTGTGCAGTAAATAATCAAAAAAGCTTTCCCAAGTTAGCTTATATTAGTAGGCGACAAGAATTATCTGGTCATAACCACTGTGGTCAGAACACAGCTCGTCAAGAGTTTGTGCCAACCTGCGTTGGTAATTTTTTTTTTCCCTGTGTGCGTGCGCCTCTGCCCCTTAAAGAAGTTTTTCCACATTCACGTAACGATGAAAACAGGCACATGGTCATATTAACCTTGCATGTACCGCTATTTAGACAACAGTGTGAAGGCTAAAAGCAAAAGCAAACATTGGTCAAACGAGAAACATTTGTAAAGAGCGGAAACTACCGCATACTGCACTGCAGCAGAGCGGCAGGTCACAGCGGTAACTTTGCCTTCAGACAGCTTATATGGCTGGTTTAGCTTTCCTTTGGTTTGATAGCGAACATTTCAAATCTAGTTTCCACTAGGGCATTAATTTTCAACGACCTAATCTGAGGGGTATAATGCAAGAAATAATGTTTCAATTATAATTCTCGGGTGTTAATGTCCCCCCCCCCAAAAAAAAAGAAAAAAGAAAGCTATACGATTATGAGGGACGCCGTAGTGGAGATCATCGGAAACTTCTACCCCCTCGGGTTCAATTACGCGCACCCAAATCTACGTACACTGGCCTCGAGTATGTTCGCCTCCATAAAAAATTCGGCCGCAAGCGGCCTGCATTCGACCGTGCGACCTACGAGTCGAACATCAAAACCACTACACCACCATGGCAGGTAGCTATAACGTTCGGTTTGTGCGTGTCGCTTATGCCGACGTAACAAACGCGGGAACTACAACCTTTGAACAGCGAAGTAGTTGAAGGTAGCCGTCGTTTGTGCGGACCACGCAAATCCCGCTACTCTTCCATTGGTAAACCACCAATAAATAAGAAAGCTATGGTCATCTTAAAGAGACACTAAAGGGAACAATTTATGCCGCACTAATGAATTATAAATTTATAATACCGTACACACGACTTTTGTCACGACAAAGCGCTTGGTAAGCGAGAAAACGCACGAAAAAAAAATGTGGGTGGCGACGCCATCTCGACGTTTCCGCACCAAACACCGTAACTTCATTGATTTTGAAAGTGTCTGCTGGGTCATATGTAGTTGCTAATTGGTAAAAATACATCGCATCGTACTGTAAGGAGACCATAGACATACATACCAAATTTCAGGAAACTTCACAGAGCGAACGCAACCAAAATACGCAAAATATTGTTTGAAAACCATCACGTCCCGCGCGGAGACTTCAGTAAAAAAGTTTAAAAGTGAAACATTGACCTTCAGTTTCTCCTCTATTAATAATCAAGATATGGCCGATCACTAGCTCCTCTTCCTGACGTCTGTGGTAAGTAGCCTGAATCGTTTCCGACATCACTTTGCGTGTCGTCTGCGATGATGGGCACAGGCGAGTTAGCGAGTTTTCTGACTACCTTCCCTCCGCTGTAATCACGATGCCTCTCACGATGCTGTTGAGGCTTGCGCGAATATTCTAGCTCTGTAGATCGGGCACCTTCGATGTTGCCTAGCACGACATCGTATAGAGGGTTCTTCATGCATTTAACTCGCACGACACCGGTGAAGAACGGTGTGTCAATAGAAACGATTGCCTCCGGCAAGTTGTGCACTGTTCTGTCGAGCAGAAAAACCGGACTTGTAGTGCCCGTAAACTTCCCTTCCGGGACAAGCCTTTCTCGTACCACTACCGTGTTGCATCCCGTATCTCGAAGTACAGATACAGTTTTGCCCTCAAGCAATCCTCTCACTACAGGCAGAGTTCCGACATCAGCCACAGTTGGGGTATGCGTCGACGTCATATTCACGATCGGGATAGTCTCCCCAGTCTGGAGTACGACGTACCCTTCATCCGGTTTCTCCGGTGTGCAAGCGTTGTCTCCTTCTTTGGGTGACAGCGTGCACGACGCCAACTGCTTTTCCTGGGTTCGAGTTGTCTCTATAGACGAACCGTTTCTGCCACTCGACCAGCCTGTTGCTGACTGCTTATTTCTTGCCCGAGACCAACATTCAGACGCCCGGTGCCCTGTCTTATTGCACAAGAAACAGAGACTTTGGCCCTTGAACTGGCGCTTAGCAGTTTCTGCTTTACGAGCATTGCTGAGCTCTCCTTAGATAGCTTATCCTTGCCCAAATTGAACAAATCTTGGACTTCCAGAAAGCAGTCTGCGTTCTGCGCTAAAGAGTGCAATTTCTTACAGTTCCTCTCCTTCAGAAATACCCTCAGGGTGGGTGAGCATCCCTTCATGAACTGTTCTGAAATCATTACGTCGCGAAGAGCGTCATATGTTTTCTCGACATTTGCCAGCTCCATCCAACGGTCGAAATGACCTGCTATGCGAGAAGCATATTGGAGCCCCGTCTCCTTGTCCTCTGGTCTCGCCTTGCGAAATTTCTCGCGGTATCCTTCAGCCGTATACCGGAATCGTAACAGCAATGTTGCCTTCACCTGATCATAGTCGGTGGCGGAAGCAGAGTCAAGTCGACTAATCACGGATAACGCCTCTCCCGTCAGGCACAAGCTGAGCGAAAAGGCCCATTTGCTCCGAGGCCACTCCTGAGACACCGCGACGCGCTCAAAACGCTGCAGATATGCGTCGAGGTCGTCTCGTTGAACGGTGGCAATAGCTTGTGCGGGCCACAGCTATCCATTACAGCTGGGGACGCTGCGTCATCGCTTGCCGGTCTCCCTATCTCTCCCGCGTTCGAACCAGTCTTCTGCTCTTGCAACTTTAGCTTCAACAGCAAAACGCGCTCCTCGGCTTGCAGCCGTCTTTCCTCCAGCGCTATCTTTTCTCGCTGCTCGTCGCGAACTTGCGCACGAAGGTCCCTTTCGATAACGCGCTCCGCGTCAACCCATTCCTGCAGTGCATCGTTCTTTTGACCACCCCTTTTTCTCTATTTTCATTCTCCTGCGAACAATATGTGCCCCGACTCCTCCACTGTCGCCAAATCGCCAGAGTTGAAACTGAGGCAAGACATCAACACCGCAAGAGTCTGCATGACACACCTCATAGTGCTGTGTTCTTACAGCATACTCCGGACACCAGTTCGCACTCCTGGTTTGTCTTATAACGTGGTAATGTACAACAGACGATAGCATAAAGGGAGGTATATAAACATGGCTTGTGGGACAAATTTCAGTTTCTTTTCCTTGGCCCATACACAGTCTTGGAGCACACTTATCCCGTTAATTATCACGTCGACCCTGTTTCTGCTCCAATCGACCGGCGCCGTAGTGGTTCCGAGATAGTTCATGCCTCAGGTGGTCTCCGCACCTCTAAGTTGTGGCCAGCATAGCTGCACCCACGTGGGGGGAATCAGTGTGGGCATTTATCAGGCGCTTCATCGCCTGCACGTTATCATTATCGCACTGTGTTCTTCATCACTGGTGGGTACCCATATTGAGGTTTATTCTGTGTTCCTCGGATGTTGCTGGTTCACCACGCCTTCAAGGTATATCAAAGGCGTGTAAAGTGCTACTTCATAATACATTGCTGAAATTAACGACATTGTAGAGTTTTAAGAGTACAATTCATGAATCTATGTCGATTCATTGTTTCACTTTAGTGTCCTTTTAACAAATATGTGCCACTATGCTGCCCGTCAGGAAACTATCGTCGTCATAAACGCGAAACAATGAACAGAATTGGCTGTGAAGTTATGACGATGAGCCGAACACCTCGAGTACGTACAAAGAGAATCACTAGAAAACAGGAAAGGCAACGGCAGCCGCAGGAACTCCGAAGTGATGAAAAACCTACGCCAACGCTGACGTGCTCATAGATCTATGAAAAGTAACAACGCTTGGTTTCAGCGCGAGGTCCTGTCTCTGGAATTTGGACATCTGTCTGTGGTTTAACACGCACCTCCCTGCTATGAGAAGGAAAGTATAATAGCATCACTTAGCTAAATCCTCACAACGACTTTGCAGCAAGCTAGAAGCAACCTGCATCCCCCTGCTAAATAACCTAAAATAAAACAGGTTCAGAATCGTTCATTTTCGCTGTTTAAAGGCTTGCTGTGGTTCAGTGGAAGCTTCGCTTTTTTTATTATTTTACCGAAAAAAGCACCAAAATTCTCAACGAACCCAAGTAAGGAAAAATGAGCTCAAGCTGTTTACGAAAGCATAAGCGACATGAGCTGTTTTTATCGCAGTTTCATTTTGCCGTTTTCTTCAATTTCACAGAATAAGTAGTGCGTCACAAAATTTATTGCATGCGACATATTACGAAATGCAACAATGAAAACGTTGTAAAGGGTGTGACAATGTGAAGACCAAAAGAAAAGAAAAGCGCATACGCGTTTCATATTTTTGCTTCAGAAGGTAGCCCGTGAGTGCTACACGAGGTCTAAACGACTGCACGTAATTAAGGCTGCCATTCAGACCCCAAATAGAATGCTTCAGTCGTGACAAACAACGCGCCAAGTAAAACTGGCGCCTGCGTACGATGCCACGGACTTCACGGCGGCCATGTATGCTGTGCTACACGTGCAAAATAAGCTCACCCAGCACGACAAG